TTATATGAAATTTTGCATACACAGAAAACTGTTTTCTTCTTAAAAATACTAAAATAATGCTACTTCACTCACAAGATTGTCTGTACAATGACATTAAAGAAATACTACATCTCGCAGAAGAATGTCTGTGCTTTAAGGTTTAATGCATGCTACATTTCTCAGAAAATATTCTATGAGATTTATTGCATGCTATTTCTCTCAGAAGATAGTCTGCCCTATGATATTTAATGTATGCTACATCTCTCATAAGACTTTCTGTGCTATGAGATTGAATGCATGCTACATACCTCAGAAGACTGTGCTGTGAGATTTAATGCATGCTACATTTCTCAGAAGATTTTCTTTGCAATGAGATTTAATGTATGCTTCATTGCTCAGAAGACTGTCTGCGTTTTACGATTCAATGCATGCTGCATCCATCAGGAGACTGTGCTATTAGATTTAATGCATGCTACATCCCTCAGAAGACTGTGCTATGAGGTTTAATGCATGCTACATCTCTCAGAAAACTGCGCTATGAGATTGAATGCATGATACAACTCTCTGTGCTATAAGTGTTAATGTATGCTTCATCTCTCAAAAGACTGTCTGTGTTGTAAGATTTAATGCATGCTACATCACTGAGAAGAATGTGCTATGAAATTTAATGCATGCTACACCTCTCAGAAGACTGTGCTATGAGATTTATTGGATGCCACATCTCTCAGATGATTGTCTGTTTTACGAGATTTAATGCATGCTACATCGTTCAGAAGACTGTCTGTGCTATAAGAGTTAATGCATGCTACATACCTGAGAAGAACGTGCTATGAGAAGTAATGCATGCTACATCTCTCAGAACACTGTCTGTGCTATGAAATGTAATGCATGCTACATTTCTCAGACGACTGTCTGTGTTTTAAGAGTTAATGCATGCTACAACCCTGAGAAGAATGTGCTATAAGATTTCATCCATGCTACATCTACCAAAAGACTGTGCTATGAGATTTATTGCATGCTACATCTCTCTGAAGACTGTATGTGCTGTTAGATGTAATGCATGCTATATCCTTCAAAAGACTGCTATGAGATTTTATGGATACTACTTCTCTCAGAAGATAGTCTGTACTATGAGATTGAATGCATGCTATATCTCTCAAAAGACTGTCTGTACTACGAGATTTAATGAATGCTACATCTTTTAGAAGACTGTCTGTGCTATAAGATTTAATGCATGCTACATCTCTCAGGAGACTGTCTGCGATTTAAGATTTAATGCATGCTTTTTATCACAGAAAATAGTCTGTGCAATGAGATTTAATGTATGCTACATCTCTCAGGAGACTGTCTGCGATTTAAGATTTAATGCATGCTATTTATCACTGAAAATAGTCTGTGTTATAAGATTTAATGCATGCTACATCTCTGAGGAGACTGCCTGCGATTTAAGATTTAATGCATGCTATTTATCACAGAAAATAGTCTGTGCAATGAGATTTAATGTATGCTACATCTCTCAGGAGACTGTCTGCGATTTAAGATTTAATGCATGCTATTTATCACAGAAAATAGTCTGTGCTATAAGATTTAATGTATGCTACATCTTTTAGAAGACTGGCTGTGCTATAAGATTTAATGCATGCAACATCTCTCAGGAGACTGTCTGCGATTTAAGATTTAATGCATGTGTTTTATCACAGAAAATAGTCTGTGCTATACGATTTAATGCATGCAACATCTCTCAGGAGACTGTCTGCGATATAAGATTTAATGCATGCTATTTATCACAGAAAATAGTCTGTGCTATGAGATTTAATGTGTGCTACACCTTTTAGAAGACTGTCTGTGCTATAAGATTTAATGCATGCTACATCTCTCAGGAGACTGTCTGCGATTTAAGATTTAATGCATGCTATTTATCACAGAAAATAGTCTGTGCTATGAGATTTAATGTATGCTCTATCTCGCAAACGACCGTCTGTGCTATGAGACTTAATACATGCTACATCTCTCAGAACAGTGTCTGTTTTACGATTTAATGCATGCTACATCCCTCAGAAGACTGTGCTATGAGACTTAATGCATGCTACACTGTATGTGCTATATGATTTAATGTACGCTACATCTCTCAGTAGACTGTCTGCGTTTTAAGATTTACATCCATCTGGAGGCTGTTCTATGAGATTTAACGCATGCTACATCCCTCAAAAGTCTGTGCTATGAGATATAATGCATGCTACATCTCTGAGAAGCATGTGCTATGAGAATTATTGCATGCTACATATCTCAGAAGACTCTTTGTGCTATGAGATTTAATGCATGCTACATCCCTCTTAAGACCGTGTTGTGAGATTTAATGCATGCCACTTTTCTCAGTTTGTCCAAGTTTGTCTAATGAGATTTAATGTATGCTTCATCTCTCAGAAGACTGTTTGTGTTCTAATACTTAATGCATGCTACATCTCTGAGAAGAATGTTCTATGAGATTTAATGCATGCTACATCTCTCAGACAACTGTCTGTGTTACGAGATTTAATGCATAGTACATCGTTCAGAATATGGTCTGTGCTATAAGATTTAATGTATGCTACATCTCTCAGAAGACTGTCTATGTGTTAAGATTTAATGTATGCTACATCTATCCGAAGAATGTGCTATGAGATTTAATGTATGCTATAACTCTCAGAAGACTGTGCTAGGAGATTTTAGGCATGCTACATCTCTCAGAAGACTGTCTGTAGTTAGAGATTTAATGCATGTTACATGTCTCAGAAGACTGTATGGGCTACAAGATTTAATGTATGCTTCGCCTCTCAGATGAAACTATGTGTTTGAAGATTTAATACATGCTACATCTCTCAGAAGACTGTATGTGTTTTAAGATTTAATGCATGCTACATCTCTCAGAAGACTCTTTGTGCTATGAGATTTAATGCATGCTACATCTCTCAGAAGACTGTCTTTGCTACAAAATTTAATGTATGCTTCGTCTCTCAGAAGAATGTGCTATGCGATTTAATGCATTCTACAACTCTCAGAAGGCTGTTTGTACTACAAGATTTAAGGCATACTGCATCTCTCAGAAGACCGTCTGTGCTACAATATTTAATGTATGCTTCATCGCTCAGAAAACTATCCTTGTTTTAAGATTTAGTGCATACTACATCCCTCAGAAGAAGGTGCTATGAGATTTAATGCATGCTTCATCTCTCATAAGACTATCTGTGCTATGAGTTTTAATGTTTAGAATACAGTAACTCTATCACGATTATAAGAAATGATCGAGAGTGATGAATTTACCAGTACGACGTATTTTGGACGGGGATTGAGTGTACACATAAGATTAACCAAATTGTTCTTGTTCTAATTGTCGCCGTGAACATACCTCTGAATGAGAATTTATTTAGTCACTAACAAGCTTGATTGCTTAGTTAGAATCGAAAAGGTTCGCATCACAACCAGATAATTTTAAATTATAATCGCAAACACTAATATGGTCAGTCAAACTTAGAAATATTTCTTAAACTTTACGATTTAAGTAAATCTGAATATTTTAAATCTTAAAATTTTAAAGACCTTGCATCACACAATTTAAATTAATAACGCGTAGGAAATTATTAGTTAGGTCTCTCTATGATATTTTATGTTCATCGAGAGTATGAATTACAGGACGAAATGGAAATGGGGATTTGTCCTCTTGCAAATAGTTTATCTATGGACAGGAAAATGAGCACCAAACATAACTCAAATAACATTTTCTGTCTGTCTCTTTTTATAGGTGTGTAGTTTAATTGAAAATTAGCAAAATAATCTTTTTAAAGATATTCAAAGCTATCGACAATTTAAAAAACAAAACATGATTTACCTGTACAGTTCCTTGCGTGATCTCTGCATTTTATTGACGATCCAAGACAAGTTACAGACAAAACTCTGATATCCAGGCTTATATTGCTGCAATTCGTAGTTACACCCTGTATGCCGAGGTTAATTCTACTTCCAGAAACTGTACACCAATTACCGGTATTGCAACAAATACTAACGCTAGCATTATTGATATCCAATTTATTGCATTTCGCACTGTCTGAGGTGTTCATTCTTACATTTAGAATACAGGCGCCTTCAAAATTAAACATACAATTCGAATTTCCTCTGTTCCCAGAATCCACTCTGCTCTTTGTCAACCATTGTCCCGTGGCAAAAATCGTTGCCGTTAAATTTCTAGGGTAATTCTGAAGTCCTTGAACTATAAGGAAGAAATAAATCCCGGTGTATCGGCGTTGTGCTTTTGACTTATATGCAATATTATTGATGGAATAAAATGAGTCAAGAAAATATTAACTAGAGAGTTTCCCGGATACAAAAATAAGAAAGTCAGCTTTATCCATTTAAAAGAAAAAGAAGAGAAAAAGATAAAATATGGATATTTCGAAACTTAAGATACAGTTACATTGATTAATATGTAATGCAACAAATCTAGGAGAGGAAGGTAGCCTGCTGTCTTGTGTCGACTAAAAAAAATGCATTTCGCCAAATGTTGTGTTATTGCACATATGTGTATGTAAACCATGAAAACAGTGTCAAAGCGCGCCTCAATAAATTAGACAGTTCTAGGCGAATAGGAAATGAAATATTTTAAAGTACGACATTCTACCAGATAAAGTTAGTCAACATGCCCTTCTTAGATTTATTTGTTCTAAAATGGAAGTAAACTTTCATAGTACCACGTTTAGGAAACAGATTTCACACAGTTTGCCTTGATATTTCTGTGTGTGTGTGTGTGTGTGTGTGTGTGTGATTATGATTTTTAACGCAGCTTTCAACAATTTTTCAGTCATATCGCAACGATGTCTGCAGTGTGGCAGTTTTTAGTGATGCCTAGCACTGGGCTATTATGCCGCAGATATGTAACATGATGACCCACCCATTCACATTATCCTGACAACAGGTCGACCAGTCCTAACAATAACCTCTTAATGCTGGGCGCCAAGCCATTTTTTGTACCATTTTTAAAGTCTTTGGTATGACTCAGCCGGGGATCGAACCCACGATCTCCCGCATCTGAGGTCAACGCTTTAATCACTAGGCCACCAGAACGGTCCTTGGTATTTATTTTATTTTTTTTTTTCGCTTGATATTAACAAAATGTAACCTAATCTGATCTTTAAAGCAAATGTATCAACTGTTGGAATAATCGCCTTTGATATTGAATACATTATATAATTACATAAATATGTACTGTAACAGTCTCACGCAAAATGATAAAATTTGAAATTATGTAAAATGAACATACCTGTTAAAATGCCTGGCAACAACATCATCGCCATAGAAAACAAGAAAATTGCGAAATATAAAATGCCCATCGTGCTGAAAGTTATAGGACAATTCCTACCTATAGGTTAAATTAACAAAGCACTAGCCATTTAGTTCTTACAGGTATATGTGCAGGTGTTCCATTTTAACTAAAATTGGAAAATTATCAAGGTGAAACTATTGTCACCTGTATACTCTGATAATTGCTAAAACTAATTTATCTGAGCACACTGTTTGTATCATCGTACAGATATAATGCTGGAGAAAAAGGCTTTTTATGGGAGAAATACCATAAGTTATCTTAGGTTGCCATGGTTTTAACATATCGCTGTATCTCACTCAAACACCAACACATGCCAATATCTAAGGACAGCAGGCCAACACTATCGTCGGCAAAGTTTGTGTACCACGTGATTTACAGACACATTGACAAATTATCTCACTGAATATATATTCCAAATCGCTGGAACTTCTGCAATCGACAACCAATTTATGAAATTTTCAGTACTTACTAAAACATTAACACTAATTCATATGGGGTAAATGTTAACAAAATATTCTTGATTTCATATCATGTACAATGCTAATATCTAGCGCGTGGATATATCTGTTCTAGGCATAAGTCAATTAAATAATTTGTACAGTAGCTGATCCAAAATATGAATTCAGGTACAATGAAAATTTCAAGAAAAAGCTAATGAATATAAGACGTATTTCATGCAAGTGTTTGTTAATGAAAACTTTCATGTTTATGAGCTAATAATTTTGCAGATTGTGTGCTGAAGGAGGACTTGTTCTAGAATGAATATTACCTTTCAAATCCTGAGATCAAAACCGAAAAGATAAAAGTGACTCCAATTGCATAATAGAAAATATACCATTAGACTGGAGATACATTGCTGCAACAGAATCAAAACCCACTGTAACCAATGGGAGAAATAATATATATCTTAAATTTGATACCAAATTGTATGACCACTATTCATGTCCAAAACATATTTTCACGCTTTTGTGAATTCCTTTTTCAAGAACCAGCTTTGTTTCCTTTTGGAGTAAAATACTATAGCAAAATTTATGATGATTGATGTCCAGTGTGCCAGTTGAAAACAGAAGATTTACTTCAGATGTTTTTCAAATGTACTAATTTAAGCTATTTTAAGAATTATGTTGTATATGTATGCTGAGAAGCCCGGTCCAAGGTAATTACAAAATTAAGTTTTTCTCAACTATAAAGAGCTGCAACATATTTTTGTTTTTTCCGAAAATGATTTTGGAATTCCACTGGATAATTCTGAAATTCCGGAAAATAATTCTGAGTGAATATATATCGCAGTGAATTTTTTAAAAAAACTAATTAATGAGTAAATCCATGAAAGTCCCAGACAATATCATTGTGGATGTTACGACCAAGAATTATTTTTCAAGATTAAATTTATTCACGATGAAGATAATTATTATTGTTGATGATTATTCATAATGAAGACTATTCATGTTGATGAAAATCATGTATTATTATTGCATGATGAAGATTGTTCAAATAAACTTCCGAATCTGAAGCTGCTATCATTGATGTAGAAAGTAACCATATTTCATTTATCGTATACAAATATTGAAAAATTACTTTCCACATCAATGATAGAAGTGTTATCAGATCAATCTGAAGTCTGTATCTGGTGATTTTGGCATTTATTCATGATGAAACATTCAATGATTCCTACGATCAAGGATTATTCAGGAATCTAGCGGAATAATTAATGATTGTACTTGTAGTTGATAATTTCATATTCCGAGTTTATATGTTTTTAAATTCCGGAATATTCCGGAATATTCCGGAATATTATATGAGTTCAAAGAAAGAATTAAGACAAGGATGTCAGAGACATAAGAGCGTTACGAAGCACAATGATAGTTGCAGATATCGTTAGCCGATACAACATGGGAATGTCAAAATGATGTCAAATTTGAAATAACGATGATAACAGCGTTAACGATGGTGATGACAATCACAGCGATGATAATCACAGTGATAAAATCACTAGTGATGATAATCACGGTGATAAAAACACTGATAACAAATATAGGACGTTACAACGTGACATCGATGACATCAAAGAGAGATACAAGATGCTGTCTATCAAGTATGATCTTGCTGATGATAAATTATCAGCGAAGCAGTCAAACATAGGCAACATTAAGCTCGAGTATGAGGCCACAATTAAACAACTGCCTCAAGAGCGTTTCGAGAATAATTTGATCGTACAGCTAAAACAATCCAACGATTTGCACTAGCAAAACCAAACAAGAATAAAATACCCAAAAATGAACTAGCAAAATTACATCTAGACGATGATAAACTCTGCAGCGAGAAACTCGCCGATAAGAACATTAAATTTCGATCGCGTATTTACAATCTGACCAAATTGAATTCAGACGTTGATAGGCTCCACAGGGAGAATACCATGCTCAGAAATGAGTTTGCCAATGTGAGGTCTAGCATAGAGAACTTTAAAATGAAACAAACCAAGAACGCCGATGCTACTCGTAAACGTTAAATATAATGATCTCGTTGAGAAACATCAATCGTTGGTGAACAAATATAGCAACCTCATCGATGACAAGCAATCGTTGTTCACCGCACATAATGGTATCCTTGACAAATATAGCATCATAAATGACAAATATAACATCATCAACGACAAATACAACATCATCAACGACAAATATAACATCATCAACGACAAATATAACATCATCAACGACAAATATAACATCATCAATGACAAATACAACATCATCAATGACAAATTTAACACCATCGATGACAAATTTAGCATCATCAATGACAAATATAACATCATCAATGACAAATACAAAAATCCTCAAGGAGAAATATAGATTGGTAAAGATTGATGCACGTGAATACGAAAAGTTGTTGCGGAACAATCAATCATTCATTAATAATGTTGATGGTCCAATGAAAGCTAAGACTGACAAACAAATTGTTCTATCAAATGTGGGAAAACGGGACATAATTCATTTATTATACATAAATATTAAAAATTGTTCCGTTTCCAACATCCGATAGAAGGTTTATTTGATCAATCTGAAGTCCGTATCTGATGCTGATATTCGCGATCGAATAGACTAAATCACCCATTGGCCAACCATATATGAAATTTAAATTTTTACATGGAATCGTAATTATCACCGAGATAATTTCTATCGTTGTTGACTTCGTTACAGTGACATTTGTCACTAATAAAATCTTCAGAGTAGTATTTATCATCGAAATCTTCATCAGGATCATCATCGTTAATGTTATCATTGATGATAAAATCATCAGCTACCACCATAAAACCCTGGATCAGTATTGTAATATCCGATCCAATCAGGATCGTCTTCAATATATTATTTAGTCCATACAGGATATCTTAATGTATAATCAGACCTATCATCGTGTTTGCTATCATTTCCTGTCAAAGTTGCTCCGAAACCTTTACAAATCAACTTGATCTTCTCAATGATATTCTGTGTCGTTAATTTTTTTTTTTTAAATCTGGCTTTAGGAAATATAATAGACCAGTTATCTTTGAGTGCGTTGTATTTCACCGATAGCGATAATTCGCTCCACTGATCTTAATTTTTGTCCAGGGATATTTACTTCTTATACACATAAACAGTCAGGAACGACATCTAGTAATCTGAATTCATCAAGAATAAATCTAACCGCGGTTAGTTTTTCTCGTGGGTTTTATTTATCTGATGGAATCATTGTACAATCTATCACAACACCGTTATTGAATTTATCAAAGATAACACACGATTATATAGTTGTTCAACTGCTCAGTTGGTAGTTGTCTTACATAGCATTGAAATATGTTGTTGAGATACGATTTCTTTGCTTGATATGGCTCTAGTCGCTCATCAGGAATGTATTTGTAGTATTTGATATTTTCATTTATAACTTGAGCTTGTTTGAATCTGTCACCAATGCGAGTTTTCAAGAATTCATCAACTGCAGGATTATCTTTGATTTTCTTGATGGATGGTTTCTTTATTCAAGTTTTCCGTCTCCATATTTCAAAGTCATCAGGTGGATAATGAATGATAATATAACCGGTATTCCTCATCATTTCTACGAATTTCAGCATGAAGTACATTTTGGAATTATTCTCGTCGATAATGTCACTGACGTCGGCAAATTAATACGCGGTTGACAATTCACCAGCATTAGAATATCTAAATAATTTAGGTTTTGTTTTCATCTAGCAATCATTCACAATCTATAATTACATTTATTATCATTTCACAATCACAGTGGAACTTTTCAGGGTTTTTTCCCCGTTGCCGAGTAATGAATTTTGCTAACACAACGAAACATATGGAGTTCTTGTTTAGTTGTTTCCATAGAACCTAGTTCTATAGAAAACACAAACATGACGTTGAATCATTCATCAGTGATACTAAAACCTGCTTCAACAGTATGGTTGAATACTACAACATCAACATCATCAAACGCAGCATTAATATTCCTTAAGTCTGTTTTCTTTTGTTGCGGATCAGTATCAGCATGTTGTTATCTTGCACTTTATTTGTGATGTTGTAACAACCTGGAATGATTTTCCACGGAATAATTCGTACTATGCTTGTCATGAGTGAATTTAGCTATTTTGGACTGCATATTTGCATCAAACCTCAATTGTTCTAACGGAGCAAATAAATTACTTTTGTGTGATGATTCAAAGATAAATCTTTTGTTGTGATCCGAGTTAAAATCATTATTGATAA